TCAAGAACTTAAAAGGAAATTCTTCAGGCAAACGGAATATAATACCAGACTGAAACTTGGCTCTATCTACACAAAGAAATGCAAACCTCAGATATGCCAAAAAGACAGAAGGGGGTCGGGGAGGGAGAGAGAGAGAGAGAAAGATAATACATTTCTCTCAAAAAAATCCTACACCTAACATCAGACTTAATGGTGAAAGGCTGAATGCTTTCCTCCTAGGCTCAGGAACAAGAGTATCCTCTCACCATTCCTATTCATTAGAGTTGAGGTCCTAGCAAATGCAATATGATAAGAAAAATAAATAGAAGACATGCAGAATATCAATGAAAAAACTGTCATCTGCAGATAACATGATTGTCTATGTAAAAAATCCCCCCAAAATTACTAGATCTAATGAGTTTAGCAAGATCACAGGATATAGGCCAACATACAAAAACCAATTCTATTTTTCCCTACTTCATATTATATACAAAAATTAATTCAAAATGGATCAAGAACCTAAATGTAAGAGCTAAAACTATAAAATTTTTAGAAGAAAACAAAGGTATAGATCTTCTTGACACTGGAAAAAGCAATGTTTCTTGGATACAGCAACAACAAAAAATAGATAAAATAGACTACATCAAAATTGAAAACTTTTGTGCTTCATAAGACACCATCAAAAAAGTGAAAGACAACTCAGCATGAGAGAAAATATTTGCCAACCACATACCTGATAAGGGACTTATATCTAGAATACGTAAAGAACACTTACGACTCAGTAATACAAAGACAGTGTAATTTTAAAATGGGCAAAGCACTGAACAGACATTTCTCAAAGAAGATATACAAATGGCCAACAAGCACATGAAAGATGCTCAATATGATTAGCCATCAGGAAAATGCAAACCAAAACCACAATGAGAACCACTTCATACCCACTAAGACGGCTATAATCAAAAGGACACATAATAACAAGTGTTGGTGAGGATGTGGAGAAGTTGGAATCTTCATACACTGCTAATAGGAATGAAAAATGGTGCAGCCTTTTGGGAAAACAGTCTGGTAGTTCCTCAAAAAGTTAAACATAGAGTTACCATTTAAGTCAGTAATTCTACTCCTAGGCATACACTCAAGAGAAATGAAAACACAGGTTCACACAAAAAATTGTACACAAATGTTCACAGCAGCATTATTCATAATATCCAAATAGTGGGAAATACCCAAATGTCCATCAGTAAATAAATGTTGTATATTCATATAGTGGAATACTATTCAGCAATAAAAAGGAACAGAGTACTGATACATACTACAACATGGATGACCCTTGAAAACATTATGCTAGGTGAAAAGAAGCCAGACACAAAAGGCCACATATTGTATGCTTTCATTTACATGAAATGTCCAGACTAGGCAAATCTACAGGACACAAAGTAGATTAGTGGTTCCCTAGTGATGAAGGGGATAGGTAAAAGGAGGGTGACTGTTAAGGGGTATGAGGTTTCTTTTTGGGGCTATGAAATTGATTGTGGTGACGGCTGCACAACTCTGAATACACTGAAAACCAGGTGAATTTTATGGTACAAATCTCTCAATAAAGCTGTTATATGTATTACAAAAAAAAAAGAGCCCCCAAATCTCTAGCTCCAATCCTAACCTTGCTCCTAAAATTTCAGATCACGATAATTCAATTGCCCCAGATATCTCAGATTTTACATGCTGAAAATTTAAACTTACTGACTTCATACACACTTAGCTTATCATAGCAACACTGTCATTCAGTTACTCAAACAGAAACTTCAGAGTCATTCTATTCTGACTCTCCCTTAAAACTGATAACTATAAAGGCTATCAAGTTTACCTCTTAAGCAGCTCCTAAATATGACTCCTTCATGCCTCAGCTCTATTTTAGGCCCTTAGAATTTCCTGCCAAAATTACCGCAAAAGTCTCCTAAATGATCTCACTGCCTCATCTTGCCTTTCTCCAAGAGATCCTCCACAGCTGCCTGAGTGAGTTTTTCTAAAATGTAAACATGATCATATCAATCTCCTACTTAAAAATCCCAAGTCCTTCCTAATCTTATAAAACTTTCAGGGCAGGTGAATTTCTCTGGCTGCCTCCTCCTCATCACCTCCACATGTGTATCCCATCTTTTAGCCATCCTTATGCACTCTACTTACCTTCGGGTATATTCTTCCTTTTTCCTGTAGTGTTCCTCTCCCAATTTTTCACTTGACTAACTACTGTCTACCAGTCCCCAAGAAGAAAAGACTTCTGTGACTCTCCCCTGATCCCTCCAACTAGGTGATATGTGGCTCCTTTGTCTTCCCACATGTTTTGCAAGTCTCACTTATCACACTGTATTTGTGTGTTTTCTTTTCCTTCTTCCCCATCAGACAATGAACTGCTTGAGGGCTTTCACCTCTATATCCTTAGCACATGCTGAGTTCTCAAAACTAATGAATGAATGAGTGGTCCAGTAAACGGCAGAATTGGTGTTTTCCACCAGCTTTAAAATGACCTAAGAACTAGCATTTAATAGCTCATCCTGGATTGACATTAAGTCATATATACAGAAATACTAGGCTACCCCAAATAGATTATTATATTGAAAAGCTTTTCAACCCTTATACACATAACTTAACGAGATGCTAGTGATATTTAAAACTTTAGAATACACACTATGTTATAGGGTCAAAGTGGAATTTGACTTACCTTGACCACATCAGCTTTATGTTTTTCTAAAACTTGAAGAGTCTGGGCAGTACTGGAATCAATCACTACCACAAGGGAATGACATCCATAAGCAATTAAACCTTGCCAGCCCCTAACAAAACAGCAATGTTAAAATTTAAGCACAAAACAAAGCAAGACTTAACTTCTCTCTTGCCAAAAGGCATCCTAAATAAATGATAAATCTAACTAATATGTACCACCATTAGTAAAATTATTATTTAAGCCCAAAGGCCAGTATTTTACATTATCCCATTTAAACAAAAAGTTTAGGTAAGCCTAAAAATGCTTGTTGAAATTCATTTTCCATTGGGATAAAAAAGGTTC